AGCCATGCAATCAGTCAGCCAGCCGCCAACCGGTTGCCAGTTACCAGCTAACAGGCAGGCTAGCAGGCAAACAAATCAATTAGCTGGCTAAATGGCTTATCGAGCATTACGCTCAAGTCGAGTGCCACAAATATATTGCATGAGGCACAAGTGAGCTGCGGCTTATGCGCCTTAGGCCACCTTGAGTGTGTGTTTGTGTGTGTGTGTGTGTATGTGTCTGTGTGTGTATGTGTGTGTGTGTGTGTGTGTGTGTGTGTGAATTTAAAAACACATTACATTATTGCGTACACGACGCATTGACAAATGAGTCAAGACAACGACTACATTGTGCAAACAGAAAGACAGACACTCGAAGCAATAAAAATAATTACAAAAATAATGGAGAAAAGAAAAGATAAATAAATATGCATGCCACAACTCGGCATAAGCGAATCACTTTTAATTATAAAGCCCTGGCAAACAAACTTGCAGCTCGTCAGCTGTCCTGCGACGAAAAACACTGAGTGCCCGGATAAAGGCATATAAAATGATTTATTTATACGCTGCGTATACGCAACATTTTCATCGTTACAGACTTTGCAGCATACCCTTGCTGAAAGCATTATAATTTAATCATCGCTTGCTGTGCGAACTCATTTAAGTGTGTCACTTCGAAATTTGATATATTTGTAACTGCCACTCGATCGAGATAACTCTGCGAGAACTCATCGTCTTCAGTTCAGTTTAAAAATGTTTTTTTATTTTCACAAACTTAACACGGGATCGCAATTGTTCAACTTATTGCTACAAATTAAAGTTACTTCATTTTGCTTTTATTAATTTCAGCGTATTTAATATTTGTCAAGCCGTTGAGCCGTTGAACAGTCTCGCCGAACTGTGTCCTTTTGTTTATTCGAGTTTCGTTATACGAGCACACAACTGAAGAGCTGATGTGACTTTCTAAAATCTCGTTACAGTTGCCTAGCTGAACGCTGTCTACACTCAGAAAAAAGCGTTGAATTTTCAAGAATTGACAGCTTAACTTATGCTTAACTTACCCATCAGAGAGTATAATTCAAACAGACAAGGCTGTGTTTTTCTTAAAACCTGTATTTTCTAAGTTCTGGGTTTGATTTTTCTATAATGTAAAAAAAAATACCCAAATTACAATTACTGCTTAAAGATTTGTCATATGCATACACGAATACAGGCAAAATAACCCAGCAACATTTTATTAACAGTTGTATTTTATAAAAGATTTTTATTTCCACTTTTAAGAAATGTATTCTTTAAATGGAAAATACTTCTAAAATATAGAAAACAAGTCTTTCCAAATGTAAGAAATTTGTTTACGTATATTTAGAAATTATTTCTAAAACCAAAGGATTTCTGTAGCTTTCAGAGCAATTCTCCTTTTAGAGAGATTTTGTGAATTTCAAAATCACTTTTCTGAGTGTATGCGCTTATTAAATGTGCGCCGTGTCATTTCATAAAAATACGATTATTGATTTTCGTTTTAAATGTATTTCTTAATATGGAAAATATTTTTTATAAATTTATTTCTTAATATGGGAAAGATTTCACAAAAATCTATCTATTGAAAAACCAGAAAATTGTTTTGCCGAGTGCATGTATCTAGTTTGGCTATTAAATGTGCGCCGTGTCTTTTCATGGCTCCCAACTCGGATTTGGCTGTCTGTCAGTCATTAGTACATTTAATAGAGATGACATGCTGCAGCCATAGGAACAACATGTGTCTTTTTGAATGGCACCTTTTATGGGCACACACACAGGCATACACACACACCAGCACACACCAAAATAACTCAACTGGGGCGCATGAAGAATGCGCAAGTGCATTTCGTTGTACGTCAGCTGAATTAATTGTTTGCAAGTGATTTTGGCTGGGACATTTTAAAGCCAAATCTAAGCCAGAAAATGGCTGAAGCCGTGCCGCAAATTAAATTTCATGCCCAACTGAAATACCTGTAGAGAATTTTTGTCAATTTAACTGCGCGAAATCTGCGCAGATGTCAAAAGGGATAATGAGCTCCTGGACTCGGAGTTGGAGTTGAAGCTGGGAAGCTGCTTTGGGGAAACCATTGCTGCGGTAGGCATCGTGGAAAATCAGCTTAGGGTGTGCATAACATTTAAATATACTTACTATATACATATATATATATATATATATATATATATATATACATATATATTTGCATCCCTGTTCAGCCGCATGGCTAGAGGGCGAAATAGAATTAAATTGACAATTGCTGGGTGAATTGATTTTTTTCGTTCTTTTTTTTTTTGCCTTGTCAGTGGCTCTTTTTTATACTTTGTTTAAAGCACCCAGAGAGTTGGTGATGAGGAAAGAAAAGTGGCACAGCTTATGTGAGTGTCTTAGCAGGTTAATTTGAAATTTCCCCAGAAATATTTGAGCTTATTATGATTACATTACAAGTTTTGAATGATGCTTCAAGCATTTTTCAATAATATTAAAGTGATGAGCAACAAATTACTTTAGCTCAAATTTCTGCAAAATGTGTATTTTATTTCGTTACAACTTAATAAGGTTTGCAAGTGATTCAGCTGGCGAAAGCGCTCTTGGCAAATATCTCAAATTTAATTCAGAAATTACAGTTTGTGATATATATATAGTTAAAGTTTAAAATTTAAAATCGAAAGACAAATTGACATATTGAAATAAATGATGAATGAAAAAAAACTTCAGATATCAATGTCACTTGTTTCACAACAAATAAGGGTGAAGTAGTTGAGTAAGGTTGACTGGGAGATACTCTGTAAATCTGCACTCTGTTGGAGACATAAACCGACGAGTTGTGGAAATGATGTAGGTGGGAATGAAACCATTCGATTCATATTCATTTTAGGGAAGCAGTCGATAATTTATTTTAAAGTGTCAGAAAGGCAGCAACTGGTCAACTTTTTTCACAGGCATAACTTAGTCAAATGTGATCCGATATTCGACAATAAGTGCTTTTGAATATTGATTTGGCCTCTTCTTTAATACCACATAAATTATCGCACTCTAAAACGCATTCGCATGACTGAATCATGCCCTTTTTTCGATTTGAAATGTGTACAGGGTATAGAAATAACAAAAAAATTAATTTCATATGACGCTGCAATTTCACTAAATATTGTCATATTTTTGGATGACCTGTTGACCATTAGCTACAGGCGCAAACATGACCAAATACTAGCACACAAAACAAAACAATTAAAAGGCAAATTTCGATTGTTGTGAGCACCATGAATATTCATGAATTGCTGCGCGACGAATTTAATAATTGAATAGCTTGAATATAAATACGCCCACAAATGGCTAGCAGCTCAGCAGGCAGTTGAGCTGTGGGACACACGGGTGGGAGACGGGCAGCGGGGCAATTGGATACACTTTGAGAAATAAATAGCCCTGAATACTCACCTGAAGTGTGATTTTCGTTTCTTACAAATTTTTATAATTTATAAAAAATAAGTCACATTTTTGACGTATATATTTACAAAGCAACTCTAGTGGACAACATCTAAATTTTAACATAGTTATGAAGAAATCAAATTTCTATTACGATGTTCTGCATTAGAAAGAGCATTTCTTCTAGAAATCAAGTTTTGCATTTCTACTTATTAGAAATTGATTTCTTAATAATGGAAACTATTTCCAAAAAACTAAAACCACACCATTTTTTGGGATTATCGATTTGGGGCAAGCCTGTCTAATATATAAAATTTTTTTTTTAAATACAGGCTGTTTTTAGAGTGTAGCTACGGTATTTTTGTTAGCCAAATGTACACAAACAAACACAACATTGAGTCACTTGGTTTTTGGGGCTGGGGCATGTCTAAATTAACAAATGAATTATTTAGAGCGAACACTTTCGTGGGCAATGCTTGGATTTGCACAATGCGAATTAGGTGCGAATGTCCAAACGGGGATTACCCTAAATGCGAAACTGTGTAATTTGGTTAAAAGCGTGGTATGAGCACCCCAACTTTAATGAAACTCCTTTGGCGCCTGATTAACATTTTTGCTCGCTTACAATTGTTGCAGATTCCCACTTCATTTGCCCCAAAAGAGGCAACCACATCCGAATTTTGACCGCACACCTGTGCCACACAGAAACAGACACTTTGAAGCTCCTATGTCGGATATATTTAGCTTCTGACTGCATTCTCAGCCACAAGGATTTATATCTGTGTCTCTCTGTCCGCCTGCCTATCTGTCTGCCAGCCAGTGTGTCGTGTTAGAATTCACTCAATTTTACGACTGTTTTTGCAGCAAGCTGCGCACTGCGCTATTTTGGCAACAAAATATACAAGAAATTAAAGCTATACCAAGCAAGTCGAAGATAAAACACACTCACATCTAAATATTCTGTGTGTCAACACTCCGAAAAAGAAAATAGAAACCCGTTCTGAAGCTTAGAAAGCTTTACTTGTTTTTAATATCTAATTCTAAGAAAAAATTGTTCTTCAAATTAGAAATTATTAGCCGAAATTGACAATACGAAAAGTATGGTTTTAATGAATAATAATATAAACAGAAAAAAGCTAATATCATAATTCTTCAATGACCTTAAATAAAAATCATCACCCTGAAAATTGGACAGATATTTTCAAAATTAAAGAAAAAACCACACTAAAATAAAGAATATGCGTGATTTTTTTCTGCGTGAAATTTCATTAGGATATCATTCACATTGAGAGATTAGCTCGCTTAAGAACTCGGCCAAGAATTTATATACCTTAACAAAATGAAGCTATTCCCTGCCAACAGTATAGCAAGCCCATAAGTTTTATATAACAATCTAGGTCCAAACACACATGGACTCAACTGGCAACTGGCAACTGACGACTGGCAACTGGCAACTGGCAAACAGACAGTTTTGGTCTGCCCCAGATTGATGTCTGCTGTGGCACCGGCTGTTGCCGCCAGTGTTTCCATGCCGCATACGTAAATTGTTTACGTGTATGCGTTGAGTAAACTGAAAAACAATTTTAGATTTTCGATTTTAAATGGTTTCGCTTTATTTTTCTGATCACGTCTGTAAGTATCCCTTAAACGCAATGTTGCCAAATATCGCGATACTTGCACATATGAATATTATCATGAATAAAGTGGGTACAACGCCTCCCAGCAGCTGTGTAAACATTTAATAAGACTTATAGAAAATACTTAAACTAAGAACATATCCGATCAACTTACAAACTGAAATGGTCTGACATTACCAAATCCGGCGACAATTGTGTTGCTGGTGGTGCTTACGGGCAGCAGGAATTGATTGTGCAGCGCAGCAGCATATGGCAGGGCAATGACCCCGGCTCCATTTCGCTGTTTGCCCGGATTATATAAGGAAAATGTTATTAATCTATATTGCAAATAGAACCTATTGAAATGAATACGTTTTAAAAGTCAAAAGAGGAGGAAAGAAATAAATCGTTGTACACATTTAACAACAAAATCCGGACAATTAAATTTAAATAATAATAATAATAATAAGCTGAGCTAATCTTGAAATCTAAATTTCAGATCATATTTTTTTCTCTGATCAACAATTCAACAATTGCGTGAGTTAGCTTTTACCCACCGGATTCAACATGGAATCCAAAGTGTTGGCAACAACACCCTGAGCTGGAGCCAGATTGGTAATCAGAGTGCCTAAAAGGCAGCCTACTATTAAAGAGACGCTGTTGTCCAATTTCTGGTTGAATATTCCGTTGCTGACCAACTGAAGCAGCTTGGAATCCTTGTAGCCAGTGAGGCAGCCATATCCGGCGCACAGCATAAAGACATGCGCCCATGGGACATTGTTATTAACGATCTTCCAGCTGACCAGAGAGGGAGCTGTGCCCTCCTTCGCCGGCTGACGACACCAGTAATAGCGACAGAAAAAATAGTTTGCCGGTACAGCAAAATAGAGTAGGCACATTGCAATGATGGCCACGGAGAGGCCACATTTCGATCTATGGAAATAGTCATACCAGCCAGGCCAGCAAATGGGTCGTCGTGTGAATAATAATAACATTGTGATAATGATCATCAGGAAGACGAGTATGGCATAGGCATTCCATGGTCCCAGGGCGCCTTTCTTATCCTCCATAGCCCGCTTGACGGCATCCTTGCCGTTGGCAGCTGCCTGCACTTGTTCCTTGACGCTGCCACTGAATAGACCCAAGAAAATGACATTTATCCAAATCGCTGTCACTACCAGACCCAAAATGAACGGACCCACAAACAACATCAGGAAACTCCCTGGCTTTACATCCGTAAACCTAAACAAGATACAAAGAAAAAACTCACAAAAGTAGATGCTCAATTTGAGATAGTTTTTGTTTTCTCGACTTACTTCTGAAAGAATTTATAGAGATCAGCATTGGGATCCTGAAACAACGAAATCATGCCACCAAAAGTGGCGCCATATGCAATCGATAGATAAATACCAACGACGGGATTTGAGGGATACGGTCTCCTAAATATAAATCAATTTGAACAATTTAAATGCCAGTCTACGAGGAGGCAATTGATCGACTTAACTTACGACTGTCGCTCGTAGGGCTCCTCATCTGAATTTGGCACCAATACACCGGCCTAGAATCACATGTATTTATATATATAATAAGGTGTATAAATAAATCTACGATTCGAATCTCATACTCACATTGCCTAGCTCTGCGATTATCGCTTGCGTCACCTTCATCCAAAACGCAGACATAAATGAACTGCTGACAAAAATCGAACTCAGACTGGTCACGACCATTATTCCAGCTTGAAGGCTGCGAATGGAGATCCAATTACAAAATATACAGCATTAAATAATCAGTTATAACCAATATATACACTCTAAGAAAAAGAAAATCACTCTGAAATGATGAAAATTGACAAAGCCTCAGCTTACTACTCAATTTAGTTTGTTTCTTTCTAAAATCCAGTTTGATTTTTTTAAAAACTTGAAGTTTTTATAATATTTAGAAGTAAAAGTCTTAATAATAGAAAATATGTATGGAAAACAATGGCAGAAGTGTCTTGAAACAATTAGTATAATAGCTGAGGGACAAACAGGCGGACTTGACTTTTGATGCTGCCCTGCATGATACCCATTGTTGCCTTTGACAACAGAATAATGTATCATATACCCATATTGGAGAACATACACTCTAAGATTGGAGCCACAGATGCCGATGACAATAAGAGCCAGACGCTCGCTAAGCCTTGAGGCGTCCATCATAATGCCCATAAAGAGGCAGCCGAATGTGGCAAATATTAAATCCGTATAATGGGCTATACACAACAGCTTCGAGCCCTGCAAACAAATTGTGTGTTGGTTGGTTGGATTATGCATTTAGTAGTTTATGGCCAACTTATGGGCTTACCGTTATGCCAAGAATGGGCAAGAAAATAATGAATAGAAACGCAATCGCTCCTTGCGACATAACGTTGCACATATAATACAGGTATACACAAATCGCAAGGTAAAGCATTCGATAGGCCGGTTTAATTAGCAATGAAAAGGGATTTTGTTAATGGTTTTTGGTTTTTTTTTTGTCTTTGGCAATTCTCATTCAGCTTACCAGCAGTTTGGGGCCAAGTAAAAGAGGTGCGAAAATGATGGGTATCAATACAAGCAGGAGGCCCTTGTAATGAAATTTGAAAAACAATTTGCGATCATCTTGCTCTGGAAATGGCTCCTGACCTGGCTTGTACTCCTCTCTGCTCTCGTTCAATTTGTCGATCGTTTTATTATCGGGCAATTAATGCAACTCTGCACTTTTTATCTACTTACGCCATTTCCAATTATCCTTGGAATATCTTGGAAAATTTAATTTCTCGTCCTGTTCGTACAGAGAATTTTACACTAAACTCAGTTTATTTAATTTTTTTTTACTATTTTGTTCTTCTTTGACAGTTTAGAAAAATATAACTAGGGTGCAGAGATCAACTGCTGAATATCCATAATTGAGTTTATTTTGTGTTTTACTGGAGAAGTGGACTTTTTTATTATTATTATTTTTTTTATTTATTTAATATCAGTTAATACAGTAAAATACTGAAAGTAAAAATAAATTTCAATGAAAAAAGAAAAAATACAATTTAAAATTAAAATTACATTAAAAAAGAAGAAATACTTATAAGATTTCTGGGGGTATTTAAATAATCTATCTTTTGTTGCAAGGCATAGGGAAAACCAAGAAAAAATTCAATCTGCAATGGAAAATGTATTTAACAATTTCACTATCTTCATTTATAATATTGACGATATGTTAAATCTTTGATTTATGATTCGTTTGGTTAATTCTCATTAAAGCTCATCTACAATCAAAGCTACTCACTCTCAAAACCCAATTTTTTATACATCTGCTTAGCACAGATGAGCACACATGCTAACGCACACACATTCACACACACACACACACACACACACACACACACACACACACACACACACACACACACACGCAGTCTTTCGTGTTTTTTATCTAGGAGACATACATCAAATCTTAAAATAAAAGGCATTTACATACAGCAGGTTAATAAATATCCTCGTACTTAATATATAAATATATATAATAAAATATTTATACATATATATATGCAAATATATTTGCATAAGCATAAATACATGTGCAATACGCACTTTTTAAGCAGAACGCTTTCAATATTTGAAGGCAATGACTGGAAAATGCTCAAATATGGCGCTAACATACTCTCTCCCTCTCCCTCTCCCTCTCTATTTCTCTCTCTCACTCGTTACCTGGCTAAGAAGTTGGATAAAATTGATTTTGCTAACAAAATATTTGCTTGCCCGCTAAAGCAAATGATTTGCAAATTAGAATTCCCATCACTGAGTAATGTTTTCGTTTTTCGTTAAAAATAAACAGAAAACGCAAGTGTTTACTTGATAAATCGTAGTTTAATTGAATGTTAATAAATAACTCATTTCATTTATATAAATAGAATGAACTCTAGATTAATACTAAATTAATATATTTTTTGCACTTGATTTATTTATTTGATATCACATAAACGTCAAAAAGCGATTAGACTCATATTAATGCAGATAAGAACGCTTGAAATAAAGTATTTTATATATAGTATTTACTAAGAAAAAACATCAATTGCAATCAGCAACTATCTCTAAATGGGTAATTATCTAATAAATGTTTCAGCCAATTCATTAGAAGATTGTTTCAAGTCTAATTTTGCTGTTTGTAAAATCATGTTTCTTTATCAATATTTCCGGGTTATTGTTTCTACGCAGGCTAATCTAATTCAGTTGATAGTGCTATCATTTCTGTATTATAGGCGAAAACGGTACTTTTTTTTATTTGACACAAGCATAATTATCTGAAGTTAGTAATCCAATTAGATAAACAACTGACAACATATTGAGTGTAGTTGACAGTTGGTCGAAACATGAGCAGAGGTGATTAGCCATTGGTCAGTTGGATTCCTGAATCCTAAATCCTGAATCAGCAATCCTGGGCGATATTTCGCATGCTTATTGGCAAAGTTTTTCTAATGCCTGGCAACTTTAGTGGGTCAAGTTTTAAGCAGAAGAAGCAGAAGAAGCAGAAGCATCAAAAGCGTTGCCAGCAACTGCACTTTTGGCCAATAAAACTTTTCGGAGCTGGATGTCTGCAACCAGTCAAGGGGTTAGTGGGATCAATGGCGAGAGCGGTTCTTTTGGGGGGATGAGTAACCTTTGTGGGGCCACGTGGCGCATAACAATGCACAGTCGTTGGCAATTTTGCGTAACTGTTTACCGTTCTGCTTCGTTAGGAGCGGCTCAGGCAAAGAGACGCAGCTGGTGGAGCACAAAACTGGAATTCAAGCTGAAAGTGATGCTGCAGCTGAAACGAGGGATTGCTACACTCACAAAATGAGAAAAACTCGACTGAAATTAAAAACCACACTGAAAACTTGAAAAATCTCATGCTTCTAAGCGTTTTCATTTCCAGTTTCTTTGTTTTAAATATTTTTCTATTAGCACTGATTTATAAAAAACAAATATTTTCAGATATGTCACCTATTTATAAATATATTTTGTTAGGAAGACTTGCAAAACCATGTTTTTTTTTTAAATACACTTTGGAAAACATTAAAACAATAAAACAATAATAATTATTTCTAAAAATATCTATAATGTGGACTTGGGAAACCATATATTTGTTAAGATACAATCTTAAATTCATAAAGAATTATTCAATAAAATCGTTGAATACTAATGCTTAATAATGATATATGTTTGTAATTTTGCTGTATTTAATATGAAAAGTAAGTAAAATGTGATACATTAAGAACAAAACAACACATTGCAATTCAGACATAATTGTTTCTTAATTTAAAATAATCGATCCTTGCAATTAAGCAGCGATAAGCTTGCTCTCTTAGTAATAAATCCAGCTACATTTGGCTGGCGATAATTTTTCTGAGTGTAGCTGCATAAACTTTGCCCTCCAGCCAAAAACGGATGTCACTGCAGATAATGTTGCATCAAATGTTTTTCTCTCCCGCCCTCTCTTCCTCCTTCTCTCACTCTCTCTCTCTCTCTCTCTCTCGCTGTCTCTCTTTGTCTTACTTTCCTATCTCTTACACTCGTGCAACTTATTTTACTGTCAGCACACCTGCCGTTGCTCCGATTCCTCGCTTCTTTATTTTGCGCAATCGGCAGTGAAATGCGCGCCCCATTTCCCTCTCTCTCTCTCTCTCTCTTTCTCTCTCTCTCTCTCTCTCTCTCTCTGTATGTGTGTGTGTTCCCTCTGAAAAGTTTTCCGGCTCAACTTAGCATTAAACCAGTTAGCTGGCCGCATTTGTTGTTTTTGCTACATTTGGTTTTTGGCTTTCGTGTTTGGTTTTTGGTTTGTGCCTTTCGGTTTTTGGTAGCAGCATTGCCCAACTAAAAGTATGCTTTGGTCTGCCTCTGCAGTGGATTTAATTTCGAATAATGCGCTGTGCTTTGCCACTCGCATTATTTTGCTGGCTACTTGCCTGTCAAAGTGCGTGAATTCCAAGTATTTGCAATTAATTGGCTTGAGGGTGAGTGCAAAAATACGAAGTTGTCAGAGTTGACTTCAAAAGACGTCAAATTTGGATCACAAGGTCTTGTTTACCATAAGTAGATAGATAGTAGATATAAATCGGTTTTTGATAACAATAATATTATTGTTATCATTATTATTAAATAATATATAATAAATAAAATGCACAAAATAAATTAAATTAAAAAACAACAATAAATTAAATTAAATACTCTTCTTCAAATAGTAGGTTAGATGGGGCTTGATTCGATATTTTAAAATAGATTGTCACTAATCTCCATAGGAAATTGTAAGTCTTGCATTTTTAAGAAGACGATCTAATAGCACAAGCATTTCTGATTTAGCCAATTTATTGCCTCATGTCTTCTTTTGTGACATATGTAATTGATTTCTCAGCTCATTTTGAAGCCAACAATGCCCTGTTCATTATATTGTGGCGAGTCTATCAATTATAAACCGCAATTCAAGTCCCTTGTCGATGATTGGTGTCGACATCAGCTTATGCACGTGTCGAGACATTTGTTCTTATGGTTGTTGTTGTTGTTGTGGCAAGTGATTGACAGCAATGGCTCAAGTGTTGATGCCTCAAGTGAGGCAGCGTGAAGAAGCATGAAAGGAAACAATGATGGAACAACTACGACCACAATGCCAACACTAACAAACAACCAACAACCAACAGCAACCACAACAACAATGACAGTGCTGGCAGCAGTAATAACAACACCAACAATGGCCAAGAACAACATCCAAAAAAATGAAGAGCACGTAAAATGGCGCCGGATGTTGATTGACTTTTGTTGAACATTTTTTTTTTCATTTTTTTTTTTGTCATACGGAAGTTTGATAAACAGAAAATGGCAATGTTTCGCTCCCTGCTGTTGTTGTTGTGTTTGTCTGTGTCCCCCTTGGCAGCACATAAACACACACACACACGCGCGAAATTTGCATGAACATTGCGTATACGCAATGTTAACCAGCAAAGACTTTGTCAAAGACATCAACCTCAGCCGCAGAGCGTTTTTTTGTTGTTGCCCACTACTGATTAGGGTTGAAAGTCAACCAACTAGCCTTAGCTTTCCTCACCTTCTCTCCCTCTCCCGCCTGATGTGCCAAACAGCAATAATTACACATAATAAGCCGTAGATTAATACAATTTGATATTGTATCTTTTTCTGTGTAAATTGGTCGACATTAAATAAATAATAATAAATAAGAAAGTGGGAAGAAGTAGCGGGTGAGTCTAGGGGGAACAATTAATTGTAATCGAAGTCTTATTTACACAAAGTAAGGAATTTATTTTTTTATTATTGTTGTGACATTACAATTTATTTTATTATTATTATATTTTCTAGGCACGTTTCCGACATCGTCTGCCAAACAGTTCCCAGCCCCACCAGCAGCGCTGCTGTGAGTCCATCAACAGCTCACCGGTCATCGGACGCTCATCAGCGAGGAGTTGGAGGCAGCTGATCGGGTCATACTGCTGCAGACGCTGCAGTGAACGGCAATAGGCCAACCTGTCCGGCTGATTCTCCAGCTCTAACTTCTTTGCACTGGACTCCGCCCAAATGCCAATGGGCAAAATAATGAGCAGCAGACAGTGTGCCTTTGTGCTCCGCATGACGCAACTGTGCGGCAACAACTGAACTATGGCAACACGCATTGCAAGTGCAACTGCAACTGAACAGGCACAGCTGTGTTCTATAGGTTGTGATTTAGTTCCATTTCATTGCAATCGGACTCAAATGGCAGCCAACGGTGGCTCAGGCCAAAAATTCTGGCCATACATTTCGATTAAATTTCTTGAGCAATCGAAACACAACTGCAAAGCAAAGCAGAAATGAATACTATTAATATCAAGCTAAAAATTGAACAAAGTGTAATATAGATACACTCAGAAAAATAATTGACCTGGAGTTTAGATTTAGAGTTTAAATATAAGAAAACATTTTGCTTAAAATTATGTAAATATTACAAAAATGTTTATATATGTGAAATTTTACATACAAATATTTGCTAATAATATTATAAATAATCGAAAAGCTAATATAATAGTTATATTATGTACACACAAAGAAAAGACAACGACCTGAAATATTTACTTTTTTTTTTAATTTTCAATAAAATACCCTGTAATTGAGAAATTCAAACAGTGGTTTTTAAAAAGCTGCAATTGTCAGTTTTAGAATTTTACATGCTGAAAAATAAAGCGAGAAAAACCCAATTTAGGTACATATTTGCACAAATTCATTTGTCAAAAATTTGGACATATCTCAGATTGTTATGATACAAATATGTTTAAGCAAATAATGTTTAAAAATACTTTCGTTCAATCAAACGCGAATGAAGAATTGTTAGTTTTCTTATCAGTTGAAAGCACAGCGGCGAAGATATTTTGATTTGTTGATTGCCACACTCTTGTTGATAATATTTGGGGCTTGTCGAATGTTAGATAAGCTTAATTGAAATTGGATAGAAGCAGCAGGCAACAATATAATGAAAACTCGGTTTCTTTCGGACTATAAAAGACAGCGCTGACCACAATGTATCATTCAGTGTTTACTTAACCATTCTCAACTGAACCCGCATCGGAATGGCAAACAATATGTCAGGTAAGTGGAAGAGGACGAGGAGGACAATGAGGACGATGGCAAGAATCTGATAGTTGTCCTTGCAGGTATCTACCTCTTGGCGAGTATTCTGTGCCTGGCCATTGGTGGATCTGTGGGCCAAATTATCGAAGGCAATTTTAATGTGACCGCCGCATGTACAACAGTGAAAACTGGCACCACAATTGGCAGCATTCTATCCTGTGACTATTACTACGTTTGCACCCAAAATGGACCGGTTCAAACCAATTGCCCGACCGGTTACTCGTACGATTATAAGGCAGCATCGTGCAGTCCGTCGTCCAGTGTCAGTTGCTATTATGGTATGGCCAATCCTTGCCAGGGCAAAGTTGGCGACAATTGGGTACCAGTTATTGGTACTTGTAGACAGTGGGTCTACTGCAAGAATGATGTAGCCAGCGGCAGCGGTACCTGTGTCAACTCAATCTTCAACCCAGACACTGAAAGCTGCGTTTACGGCACCTGTACTGAGAGTCTCACCTCAGGTCCCAATATAGAAAACCTTTGCCAAGTGCTCAAACCAACAAGTTACTTCGGATCCACGAGTAACTGTGCGATATATTACTATTGCTATCCAGACGGCTCAATGGGACAAGGTGTCTGTCCTAATGGTGTAAGTTGTTTCTATTTTTGTTTTTGTATTAAATAATTATGCTCTCTACTAATCATAATATTATCAATTGGCTACTTTTAGGCATTTGTTGTACAACAAGGTGCTTGTGGCTATGATACAAATGGCAATTGTGACCGAATCACCGATAGTCCAGTGCCAAACACGTGCGATAGCTCAGGTGAAACAACTGGCAATAATGTAACGTGTGGCGACTATTATTACTGCGACGGCAGCCAATATGTGTCCAAGAGCTGTTCCATTGGTCAATACTATGATACATTAACTAGTCAATGTACATCACGCCAGTCAGCAACGCCAGCTGAAGGCTGCAATCGTTGCCAGTATGCAAATGCTCCATTTGTGAATGCTGTTGATACGGAATACTGTAACGAATACTATTATTGTAATAATGGTGTTCAAGGCACTGTAAACACGTGCCCCACTGGCTACTTTTTCAACGAAGCCAGCCAGGGATGTTTCCCTTATGTTGGTCTTAGCATATATAGGGCAAACAATGGAGCCTGCTCCGGAGCTGTCGCACCAACAACAACACCATCACCATCAACTACGGAAGGTTCAAAAACAACAACACCAGCACCAAAATCAACACTAGCACCAACTTCAACAGTAGCACCAACAACAACACTAAAACCAGCATGATCCCGATGAACACCATCACCAGTTGGTGAAAATAAAAACCTTATATGGGAAAAAAAAAACAATAAATTCACAAGTTATACATTAATAAAGCAAGCATTTAAAAAAAACAATGCAAGCCTTTTCCATATCGCATGTAAGCCAAAGGTACGCAGAATAGCGCTTGATCGTCGTCTAATTGATCGATTAATCAACCCTCCACACTTCCATATATCACAATTATATTTAAGTTTAAATTTAAGCTTGGCTGCCATAGCATGATTTAAGCCATTGACGTAGTCCTGGACGGGGTGGAAAGGAGGCTTTATCATGTTGAACAACCGAGCTGTGATAAATGTAGAAACTAATTCATTTCAAGCCGTTTGCGTTTGCGGAGTTTCGAGGAACAAAAGAGGAGCAGGAAACAAGCCCAGTTATTAGTTTTGACTTTGACTGGTGCTCTGGAGATCCTTGAGGGCACCTCCAGATTCGTGGGAAATATATGGAAAACTGAACAGAACCTCAAGTTGACTTTTAGACAGCAATCTTCTGTTCTCATGTCTTTCGGTCAGGTTCTTGCCACACAGACTGAAAGCCATCATTTGTTAAAGGAGACTTGGCCACTATATATTTTGCTTCGCGACTAGTTATGGCATTAAGTTCGAAATGTGTTTAAACTGAGACAGGAGTTGTTGATGACATACTGATCATAGCCTCTTTTTGGCTAGTCTGTCTGAAATAGCAACAATATCATTGAAAATTAACTAATGCTTGTCTTATCGTATTTCTTACGGATTACATGCTATGTTCGTTTCGGATGCAAAATATGCCAGATATATATGTACGAGTATATGCCAATTTTGTTAATTATTATTTGGCTGAGTGCTTAATTAATTTCTGACGAACCCTAGGCAACAACGACGAGCAAAAAAGTAACGACGAGCAAAGAAACAACGGCGAGAGCGAATTCGCAATCCGGCGAATATGCTTAAAGAACGATCGGCGAAGAGTGAGAGAAATATGCGATGAGGCTGCGCAACAATGACTTTGTATCGATTTGCTTAACACTGGACATCAGTCAGAAGGCTGCAACACAGCGACGAAGAAGAGAATGGTGACGAAGAAGTAGTCAGCGTTGATGAAGCAGGCAGAGACGAAACCAAAGGCAACGACGAAAAAGAAGGCAGCAGTGAAGAGAACGAAGAACGCGCGCATAGAGCATTGAAGATAAACAACAGGGATGATAAGAAAACACAGCACGTCCAGTAACGAACGGAGAGCATAGCGACGATAAAACATTTGCGAACAAGTTGCAGGCACCGCGCTTTGCTATGAGTTTCCGTGACGTAGAAGAATGTCTCACAGGTTTCAATGGTCGTGACGAAATTGCTGTAGCCGTGTGGATAGCAGAATTCGAAGAACAAGAAGAACGTGGCTGTGTTGGAATGATATAAAACAAGCTCATATTTGCTAAGCTATTTGTGTTGAGTGAAAAACATGTGGATTCGTGGCAAGCATTGAAGTATTCTCAATCATGACTGTGTCAAGCAATTAAATACACACGCAATTGAGTGAGAGTAAACGACATTGCAATGAAACTGTTTGTGAGTTTGTGACTATCGAATGAAAGATTTTGCATCTCGTGGAAGAGCTGAAGACGACCCATTTATGCAATTCGTAGTGGGGCAGCCGTCTTTGCTCAGATGGTGTATTTCTCAGGACGTGTTGCGTTGCATAGCGATTTTCACGAACAGAAAAGTAAAACACTTGTTTTCGCTTTCGACTTTTAATTTCAAGCTGATAGCTAGATAAACCTTACCAAAACCTGTACAAATACAAAACAAATATCCCTTATGTTGCTAGAGGGTGGTGGATATCGCCAACAGAGTTGCGGAAGGTAAGATCACTGTTCATGGCCTACTTTCAGGCATCAACAGTTTGCGTTGTTGGCTAGCCGCATTCTCGTTGATAATGTTTGGGGCTTGTCGAATGTTAGATAAGCTTAATTGAAAATGGTTAGCAGCAGCAGAAAGAACATAATCGAATTAGATATAATTAAAAAATGGTTTCCGCTGGTAGTCTTTAATATATATATTTTGTGTTTTTTCGAGGAAATCGCTGACACAGATCCGTGCGTCATGGCGATATTATCGAATATCTTTCGAACTATAAAAGACAGCGCTGGCATTGTGGAATCATTCAGTGTTTACTTAACCATTCTCAACTGAACCCGCATCGGAATGGCAAACAATATGTCAGGTAAGTGGAAGAGGACAATGAGGACGATGGCAAGAATCTGATAGTTGTCCTTGCAGGTATCTACCTCTTGGCGAGTATTCTGTGCCTGGCCATTGGCGGATCTGTGGCCCAATTTATCGAAGGCAATTATAACGTTACCGCCGCATGTACAACAGTGCCACCTGGCACTCAACTTGGCAGCATTGTGTCCTGTGACTATTACTACGTTTGCACCAAAAATGGACCGGTTCAAACCAATTGCCCGACCGGTTACTCGTACGATTATAAGGCAGCATCGTGCAGTCCGTCGTCCAGTGTCAGTTGCTATTATGGTATGGACAATCCTTGCGAGGGCAAAGTTGGCGACAATTGGGTACCAGTTATTGGTACTTGCAGCGAATGGGTCTACTGCAAGAATGATGTAGCCAGCGGCAGTGGTACCTGTGTCAACTCAATCTTCAACCCAGACACTCAAAGCTGCGCTTACGGCACCTGTACTGAGAATCCCACCACAGGTCCCAATCTAGAAAACCTTTGCAAAGTGATCAAACCATCAAGTTACTTCGGATCCACGAGTGACTGTGCGATATATTACTATTGCTATCCAGACGGCTCAATGGGAGATGGTGTCTGTCCTAATGGTGTAAGTTGTTTCTATTTTTGTTTTTGTATTAAATAATTATGCTCTCTACTAATCATAATATTATCAATTGGCTACTTTTAGGCATTTGTTGCACAATACGGTGCTTGTGGCTATGATACAAATGGCAATTGTGACCGAATCACCGATAGTCCAGTGCCAAACACGTGCACTAACTCAGGTGATACAACTGGCAATGATGTAACGTGTGGCGACTATTATTACTGCGACGGCAGCAAATATGTGCCCAAGAGTTGTTCCAGTGGTCAATACTATGATACATTAACTGAAGGTTGTACATCACGCCAGTCAGCAACGCCAACTGATGGCTGCAATCGTTGCCAGTATGCAAATGTTCAATTTGTGAATGCTGTTGATACGGCAAGCTGTAACGAATACTATTATTGTAATAATGGTGTTCAAGGCACTGTATCCGAGTGCCCCATTGGCTACTTTTTCAACGAAGCCAGCCAGGGCTGTTTCCCTAATTCTGGTCTTAACATATATCAGGCAAACAATGGAGCCTGCCATGGAGCTATCCCAGCAACAGAAGCACCAACGTCATCAACAACATCAACAACAACTTCAACAACATCAACAACAACACCTTCATCAACAGCAGGAGAATAATGAAGGTTTATCTGATGAAGGTACTGCAGATGAGTCTAAAGGATGATCAACAACGATTCATTTACAAAACCCTAAACTTTAAGTGAAGAACATTCCAAAAATCCAAAAAAAAAAAAAACTTTCACAGCTTATTAATTAATAAAGCAAGTAATTAAAAACAATCCATGCAAGACTTTTTGATATCGCAGGTAAGCCAAAGGTAAGCAGAATAGCGCTTGATCGTCTTCTAATTGATCGATTAATCAGCCCTCCACACACACACGCACACATGCATATATCACAATTATATTTAAGTTTATTAACTAAAGTGATAAGCCTGAGTCAGTGAAAACTATATTCGATATGCCAAAAATGTATAGCTCTTTCCTCCTGATATATATCTATAGCACTGTCCGATCAATATTCGCAACGAATTCTTATCAATCATAAATTGATTAATTGATAAATTAACCAAGTTATATAATTCGTTTGCAGTGGGCATTTTGATTTGCTTTTCAAAATTGCATTGAAGGAGCCGTCTCACATCAAATATGTGTATTCTCGAGCCGGATTGAACTATTCTATATATATAGCCGGCTGTCATAAAACATACACAAACAAATGTGAAATATGCAGTTAATAGCCAGATCTAAAACTGTTATAATAAGAAAATCATTTATGTTAAAAAAAAAATTGCTTAATGAAACAAAAATGTATATCTTTTTATATCGATCAATTGACTCCGCCCTAAATTGGTATCTAAATTCATAAAAAAAAACATTGGTGCAAAGTGTATGTATAATTTATTGATCAGGATCAACGGAGTAGTTGATATGTCCGTTTGTCCAACTTTGTGAAAACGCGGATCCCAAAGAGACTTCAAATTTGAAATAAAAGTTCACTAATACATCGGGCAGATCAAGTTTATTTTATTTTATTGATAACTTTCTCCGTTGCGCGAATATAGACAGCTCCACAAAAGACACAATTTGAAGGGCAGACCCTTTGAATTCATATGAAATATAAATTGAACCATTGTTAAAACTACAATGTATTCGATAAATAATGACATTGTATATATTAGTTCAGTTCATTCAACTACAGCAGTCTTACTTGTTGTGTACAATACTGCTGACTTTGCCATTATTCATGGTTGTTATTTAAACACACAATTTTCCAATTCTATATATTATATACATAAATGTTGTATGACTAAGAAATTATTATTTGCGTCTTGCTTTCAAAATATATTTTGAATAATTGGCGAAATCAAATGAAAAGCAAACGCTTATAGATGCTATATATACCAGATCTACGATATGCATTTTCTGCTCCCACTTGGTGCACATTTTTTATTAGTATTATAATTTTCTTTTTCGGCGATGTTTCACACAAAATTAATTTAGCTTTTTTCGCAACTTTCAATCAGATTGCTTGATAGCTATTTTTTCTTGGTTTGACATTTTCATTATCGGCCCATTTTATATGCGGTAGTATGTGTGTGTGCAACTGCAAATTGCACTTGCAGCCAGCCTCGAAATTGCACTGCTGATGTACCCAATCGAGCGTAAATTGCCCCGTGATATTATTTAATATCGCACCGAGCATTCGACCTATCGTTTTTTGCTGGATTTTTTTGTCTATATGTATACAGATGTAAGGGAAATTGAGTGAAATGCCATTGAAAATTGTCAAACGATGCTTTTGCAATTCTCGCACAACGAACAAAAAAAAAAATAAATACATATAGCATTCGTGCATCTCTCAATATAGTAATATTAGTTTAAGTCAACAAAATGATGATTAACCATTAATCATCACTATGGTGTGGTTTTAGGTATTTAATAAAGAAATGTTGTAACATTTAAACAGTCAAACATAATCTGATCTTTTTGTCTCAATGATTGGTTTTTCTTTTGATTTTCATTAAGTTTTCTCGCACCCTATCTCTCTCTCTCTCTCAATCTGTCTGTCTTTATTTGCTTACACCTTTGCTAAGAGTGCTTACAGCACAATTCCATTATATGCTTTGTGTTGAACGAAATCCCCAAATGTTAATTCAGTTAAAAACTGCCAACGCTGGGCATCCTTCTGTGCAGCAGCTTATGCAGCCTGCGGACCGCTTTGCTAGCCAGTTGCCAGTCAAATCTCAGCATGAAATTCATTTCGGATTAAATTAAGGATTAAGGTAACTTTTCAAAGGCAGCACTCGACCATTTCGACCGAGCAGCAATGGCTTCGAGTTCATCAGAATCGCGGTAAACCTTTTTTTTTGCTTGTTGATACCCTGTAACCATTATAATTTAAACAAGTTTTTTGCTGGCTCCAGCTCTAGCTTGGACATCTAAAGACTTCGAAATTGACAAATAAAAGTTTATTTCATTTAGATTTTTAATATTTATTTGCCAGCCGTTTGAATATGAGGGTATTTTTTAGTCGAGCCTTTTCGACTTATTTTTCAGTCTAAGTTGTTTTTCATTTTTGTAGTATTCTGTTTCAGGCGGTGTGCGCCAAAGCGTTCTTAAGTATTTAAGCAAATTTAAAAAGTTGTTAAGCTCCATAATGAAGCAATTTCGAGAGCATTTCACCGAGCAGTGCTTGGGCATAAAAATTGCTCGACTTTTATTGGCTTTCGTTGAGCGCAACTCATTTGATTTTCGGCACTTGCTTGGCGTTTTTATTAATTAGCTGAACTGAGCAGAGACATGCAGCACATAGATGGATGGCCATTAAATGTCTGCCTCAATTTCAGTTGAGCTGAGCAGATGAGCAGATGAGCAGCGCCCTCTTCTAACCTAGTTCCTAATGATGCCACAAGGATTGGATCAGAGAATGGCCCCCAGCTGCCGCCCCAATGATAATGAGGCAAGGCAGCAACCATGTGCAGATGGCTCGTTATGTCAACTCCCTCTCTCTCTCTCTCTCTCTCTCTCTCTCCCCCTCTCTCTCTCTCACTCTCTGTCTATCTGTCTCTCTAAATGCCCCTCATTTCATTTATTTCATTTCAACAACTCCATTAAAGCAATGACAAAGGCCACACAAAGGGATATGCCCACCTGGCCAACTGTGGCAGCTCCCCTTCCGCTCACCCCTTTTACAGTTTAAGCCATCTCTCAGCAGGTCATCAGCTGGTGCGGTTTTTTTTTTCGTTCGCATAGAAATTAAAAAGCCTCAACAGAAGAATTCAATTACATAATTTTGACCTTTTCCTTTTGTTCGTGTTGCTTTTTTTGTGTGCTTTGTCTGTGTTTGATTTAAATGTTTTCCCTTTATTTGTTTTTTTTTATAGCAGACAAATGTTTTTGGCTCTTTAAATTCCCAAAGCCCTATTCGCAGTTCCTGGAATTAAGACAATGGAAGAGTGCAGAAAACGCGAGCATCCGCTTTTTATACACTGATACGGCAAATGGAAGAGTATATTGGTCAGGTTGTATGGAACTCAAATTCAGTTCTTGTCACTCTTAGGGAGAATATGAAAATTAAAAAGTATGTTTACCACATATTTTTAACTGGTATTCAGAGGATTTTTTGAAATTCATCAGGGTAACTCAAATTATTATTTAGACAATATATTTCTAAAAAACAAACACTCTTTTTTACGATTTTACAAAATATGTCTACTTTTCAGGATATTTATTAATTCTAAACAGAAAACAAAAAATATACCATAATATAGGGCAAGCCTCTCTTATTTTAAGAAAAATGCTTTCTAATACTTATAAATCATTTCTGAAAACTGGAAAAACAAACTAATTTTCAGGGCAACTTGCGAAATTGCTGAACCAATTTTTGTTGCTAGGTGTAGGCAGTCGTCTATGGCCTGCAATGTCTGGTGTGCAATGCTGCTCACATGTATTTTATTCATAGTAGGCTAAAGTTTCGCGCTCAACATGGCGTATGAGTAATGCCATTTGCGAGTTGAAGCTGAAGAGTTGCAGTTGCATTCCCGACTAACTACAGCAATTATGTGCTGGCAATTCACGCCTTCGCTTCATGCCCGGATTACCGGCTAAATGAACTGACTTCTAATGAGTTGTAAACTATCTAAAGACACATACAGGTTTATATAAATATATATATATATATGTATATGTGTGTGTGTGTATTTGAATGCTCATAAATCTTCATTCGCGACTACGTGCGTCATCGTCATCATCATGTTGTTTGGATCTTGGTGTTCATCTTGATACTTTTGGCTTTTGGGGTTTTGTGTCTTTCATCTTTGGCTGGCTGCTTGGCTGGTTGGCAGTGGCATACATTTGTTTCTGCTGCGTCGCTTTTGTTGTCGGCTTTGTGTCGCCTCATGAGTCATTTATCATGCGAGCATCTCTTTAGTTGTCATATTTCCCTGCTGCACCCTGCATGATTTTTCACTTCACTTTTCAATGCGAGCAACGTGACAAACTGACTGGCACCAAATGCATCAATGCCTGACGAGTTGACAAAGCCAGTCAGACTAAAGCCAAAGTTAGTCAGATAGTGCGACCGCATCACTCACACTAAAGCCGGATTCAGTTTTCCCATTCTTTCTCTCTCTCTTTCTCTATCTCTCTCTGATACGCTGTCTCCCTGTCTAGCGTATAAATAGGTGCTATAAATTGCAGCTGCTATAATCACAATCGTTCATTATGGCCAACAATCTGCAAGCTGACAAGTGCGAAAGCTTTCAATTTCCGCCGGAAATGTTGCACGCTTAAAAATTCAATTTCACGTTGCTTTAAATTTGTTTAAATCAAATAAAAAACACAATTAATTGAGGCACACCGAAGCGTATATACTCTAATTTGCACAACTTTAAATCGTCAACTAATTAAACTTGTTTTAAATATGAAAGACTAGACTGACGGACTCGTTGTTTTGTTACTTTTGATATTATTATAATATATTATGGATTATTATATAACCGAAAATATAAAGGGAAAAAAAAATGCATAACTAAATTTTCGTTAATTTAATAATGAGCCGCAATTACATGCATATTTCATATAATTGGGGCAGTCTCTCTTTCTATCTCTCTCTCTCTCTCTCTTTCTCTCTCTCTCTCTCTCTCTTTCTCCATCTCTCTGCAAATCAAATTGTGGGCATTATTTTTTGGCGTTTTTCAAGC